GGGAAACAAAGGTGGCTGTGAGAGCAAGCTAGAAGCTACATTAGGCTTCTCTAATGTATATGAGCTGGACTAGGACCACTAGGACCCCTGGAGCACAGTGCTCTCAGCTTCGCTGTCCTCCTTGTCCCAGAGCACAGCCTCTGCCAAGATGCACAGGGCTGTGCAGGGGGAGGGAGCCTGGGGATCCAGCTTCTGGCCTTGTATTTGGAACACCCTCATCTTGGTTAGACAAAAGGGCTCTTCAGGGTAGGGTCCCTGTTTTTTTTTCCACCTGCCCCGGTGACATCTAGCAGGGCTTTGGGGACAAAGAATGAGGAATTCAAAGAGTAACCACAGCTGCCTCGGCCCCATGCTCCGTTCCAGAGCTGTTCTCCCACTCGTCAGGCCCAGAAACCCATCCTTCATCCAGCATGCTCTGTAATGACACAGTCTTGGGGATGAATCCTGCTGCTTCCCTGTCCTGGTGGGGAATGTGCATGCAGCTGCATTTCAGCATGGCAAGGAGGGAGGGGCCCAGCTATGAACTTAATTTAACCCCGTGAAACCTCCTTCACCCTTTGGTTCCTGCCCTGATATTTAGTGCCTTTAATAGAGAAACACACCTAGATCAACAGAGAACTCTCCCAGACAGGGTCAAACCCTGCACACACCCGCAACCGCTCCTATGCGCACAGTAAAGAGCAGGCAGGTGTGAGTTATGGGGCTGTAACTGCCTCCCAGAGGCTACAGGGATAGAGGGAATGCTCTGCAACCTCCATCCCAAGAAGAAAGAGCCAGTGGGTGAGGCAGTGTCTTCAGTGACTTAGACATGATCTGGTTGGTGTCATTACCTCTCCCCCTGCATTAACGACTTCTGCCTCTGTCTTCATCCCACACTTTGCTGTCACTGTGATGCCATGTCCACCACCTTGCTGTCTGCCCACCAGGTATAGCTTCAACAGCTCCCTGATCCCTAGTTCCTACCTTTGATGAAGGGACTGTTCATGCCTTAGACATGGCCTTCCTCTCCAGTGCATCAAGCAGCTCGGCTTTCCCAGCACCCAGTGCCCTGCTGGTGGGTTTGCTCTTCCCCTCTGTCAGCACTGGGAGCCTATTGCCAAGTGGGGGATTTTACTTCAGGTGACTTAGGGATTATTAATTGAAGCTTGCACAGTGTGCATGGACATGTCATGGGGGCTGCAGGTAATGAGCACAAGTAAACAGAACTCCATGAGCAATGTGCTGCCTGTGACAGCAAACAAGGCTGATTATCAGGGCACAACGGGAAATGTGGGACAAACATCCCCTTACAAACCTTTTAAGAGCGCATGGCTGTGAGGTAGCAGGCTGCAGATATGAGAGCAACAGTAAAGGGCAATTTGGAGGGAGCTGCCTCGGCTCCCTCCTGGACTCCATTAGATGAGCCCAGGCCTTGAGTCATAAATGTGGTGCAGTGGATGTCGTTTATGTGTCAGCAAACACTCTGAGTCGGCTCGACTATTGATTCTGACCATATAAAAGGGTGTCGTGCCACTTGTGCAGGTTTGCGCAGGTTTTACAGCTCTTGTTCTGAGAAGGGCCCGTGTGTTTGGTTTTGCCTTCTTCCTCCAGGCCTTCTATTGACATTGGCTCTGCTAGGTAGTGTGTAGGTCCCTGGCAGGAAGCTGAGTGCGCAGCTCCCCCCACGCCTCCCGTTTCCCTGGAGGTTATCGGCTATAAAATCACCGACACACCCATGGCCAGATGTAGGAGGGTTTCCTGTGCGGGAGGCAGGTGAAAGGTACCAGTCACCTCTATGCTTGCTGTGTGGAGATGCCTGGTATTGCACTAATAGGAGCTGGGGCAGCCAAACAGGAGGGGCTGGATTTTCAGCAGGCCACGGTATTTCAGACCTCATGGGCCAAGCCCTGCATGGCTAGGGACTATCCTACTCTGGGCAGACCCAAAAGATTGAGCTGAATGAGAACGGGGAGAGCTTTTCCATAATGACAATGATATAAGCAATTCCCTCAGTTTTCCATGCACAGCTCCCAGCAGCTTTGCAGATAAGGAAACAGAAGCAAAGAAAGGGGAAGTGACTTGCCTAAGGCCACCCTGAGAGTCAGCAGCAGAGCGCACGTCTACACGAGATGCCTGAATGTGCAGTGGACTGTTCTACTGCACATTAGTGTGTCACGCCAATGTCACAGCATCTGGCAGAGGGGCAGAAAGGGAGCTTATCCCGCCACTTGCTCCATGCAGGGAGCGATCCGCAGTGGCGGCAGCGGTCAGGGCTGGTAGACCTTGGCTGCAGTCCCCCGGTGGCAGAGGGGGAAATGTGTTAATGCACAGTAGAATTAATCTACCGTGCATTAAGCATCACAAAAAACCAATGTTTGCCTTTGTTACTGTGCATGTGTGTAGCTACTGCACCTTTAGTAGCTCGTATTATAGATACTAAACTTAATGCACAGTAGCAAAGGTAAATTAATGAACGTGTAGACATGCCCAGTGCTGGCAAAACACTATGTATCTACTGAAACTACCTCTGTCCGCTGTGTCCATGGGCTGGGGTGGAGTGACCTTAGCTGCTTGGCTGGCATGAAGGCACAAGCATCCATGTTATGGCCTTGAGAGTTGCAGGAAAGGGCAGGGGGGTGAGGGTTCTGTAGGTACGGCACCAAGGGTTGCCCAAATCTGGAATGGGCTTCCAAGAGAGGCAGTGCTCTTGCCTACCTTGGGGGTTTTTAAGAGAAGGCTAGACAAGCACTTAGCTGAAGTGGTCTGACCCCGGCGCTCTTTCCTGCCCAGGCAGGGGGTCGGACTCGATGACCTACTGAGGTCCCTTCCGACCCTAATATCTGTGAATCTATGAGTCTGTGTTTGCAGGATCTGGGGTGTTCAGCTCTGTTACAAGGAAGATAGAAAAGAGCTGGCAGATGTTATTAAAAAAGACTCTTTTTTCTTGTCTTTGGCCCATGACGGGGAGCTGCCTATGTGTGTTTGCATGCCTAATTAACAGAGGCCTCTTGGAAGGCTGTATATCCCTGTGGACATTTAGCTGGCTACTGGTGCTCATGTCCGTTTGTGTGATCACTTCATGGAAACGCTCACACAGCTCAGGGGCTGTATAGACACTTTGGGTGAGCAAGTGGACATGCATGGCTGCCAGTGTTTGGTCCTGGATCACTCAGTCTGTTTTCCTTGCTGGCAGGGACTCACCTCTTGTCCCTTTGCACTGCTGTAGTCACTAGATTATCAAGTGCTGTTAAGCGTAAGTCCTTCCTGTACCATTTGTTTCTGTATTAATGGATTAGTCTGAAGCAGGCACTATGGCCTTATTTACAATTGCTGCAGGAAAACGCTGGTTGCCCAATGCTCAAGTGAGGGAAGAGAAGGCCATCTTTAATCCCTGTCACTTAAGTGGCACTGGGAGAAGTCACTATTCAGTTCCGCAGAAGGAGTCAATCCTGCTCGGAAGTGGAGGCTGAACACAAGATGGACTGTCTCAGAACGGTGCCTATTTGTCTTTCCCTTTGGGATTGTTTTGTTTGCTAAATACCATATTTACTTGAGGTTTTTTCCCCCAATCAGCATGGGATAAAAAGCCTCTCATCTTACATTTACATACAAGGAAACCTTAGTAAATACAGAGGTTTTAGTCCTGTTATAAGGAAACTAGAAAAAAATTGTCTATCTTTAAATGATTTTCTATCACAAAACTGTTGCCAAAAGTAACATGTGCTTAGTAACGGAAACCAATGATACAGCCAACACGCAGCATGATACAAAACACATGGCCCATATTGGCCAAACATGCTGACAGGAACTTTTTGGGGGGGCCCTTAAAAAAAACAATGGGCAGGTAACTCCTGCCCAGAGAGCTGGCATTAGGCCTGGAGGTACTACAGTACCAGACTGGTACCAGAAGGGCCAAGGCAAGTCCCAACACCTTTCCCTTGGTGCCAAAAATGCTTGATCTTTGCCAAAAAAAATTATTAAAAATATATTTCTCTCTATATAGTTATATATATATACCCTCTATCATCAACTTTTCATCAGAAACTTAAACCTCATAAAGAAAGCCCACACACCCATTACAATAAATGCACCCAGTCCCTTGTGCCCCTAGCCAAAAGACCAAAATGTTAGTGTAACCCCTCTGAATAAAATATATACAGTAAAAGCTCTGTTACCCAGCATCCCCCGGGAACGGGCAATGCTGGATAACAAAATATGCCGGTTAATTGCATGGCCCCAGCCACTGCTTTTCACACCACATCTGGGGCATCCTCCGCCCCTCCTGTGGCAGGACAAGAAGGCAGGTCCCGCACAGCCCCACGCAGTCTGCTATGCTCCCAGGCCATGGGGGCTTGGCAGCACAGGCTGCTTTGCCCCAAGCAATGGGGGCTCAGAGGAACCAGAAGTACACAGCTGGTTTCACTTTATCTTACAAGCCAACATGCCAGTTAGTGGAGCATACCCCCTTATAAAACACCAGGTAACAGAACTTTTACTATAGTAGTGCTCATTGACTGCAGTCCCCTTCAGTGCTGATGCTTTTAAAAGTCATGGTAAGCCACTACACTGAATACCTTTCCACTTCCTCTTCACTCCCATAGCTGACCTGTACCTTTCTTTCCCATTCCTAAGGTATCCTGTTTCTTCACCCGCCTTAAATGTCTGGCAAACATCACCAAGTGGGGCCCCAAACAGTTCACCCAGAATCTCTCTCTTAGCCTGGCACATATGATTAGTGTGGCCCCACCCTCCATGAGGTGGCCAGACCAGGTTACCCTGCATCTTATCTGCATATAAATTATTGGAGGATCCCAGGACTTGTGACAAGAACACCCAGGCCATTACTGGGGGGCTAATTAACACATGGACCCTTTGTGGGGGGTGTCTGGAATACACACACACACATAGTGAGCAGTCCTGAGCTGTAGGGTCACCATGGCGTGAAATGCTGTTGACTCTGCTGGGGCCCAGCCCAATACAGTAAATTATGATCCTTTTGTCTTTGGACTAATATCATGTAGGTTTCTAGCCGTTTGGCTCAGATCACGTGGACTGCCTGACCCCCCCCTCAGCACCTGATGGACTCTGAGAGCTATTCTCAACCATGGGCTACTCCATTCCACCTGGAAAGGATAGGACTCCATGGACTGAGTGACTCTTTCACTCAACTCACCCCCTCCTCCATTGTGGACCTTTGTACGGGTTTGTTTGTATCTTCTTTTCCCTCTCAGTGTCATGACCCCCTCCCTCCCCTCCCCTACCTCCCCTCCCACCCTTGGGCCTAGACGGCTAACATTGTATTTATGTAACCCAGTTGCATTCCCCTCCTCACCCTCATCCCTCTTATGTTAGTCCCCCACTTGGGCTCTCCATATTTCCCTTATGGCCTTGTCATTTTTGTTCTAAGATTCTTAACATTTTCTAATAAGGTAAACCTGTTCTTATCTCAGCCTTTTGGCTCAGCTCAAGTGTCTGGTCTGTCACCCAAACCAAGATGGATTTAAATGGCATTGTGTAGTGGAGGGTGTACTTCTGTCCAATTCACTGCAGACAGGATGTCCTACAAGTCTTATAATTAGCTTCCTACTGGCCAGCATCCAGTGGGAGGATCTTGGCTACACACCTACTTCATGGAAATCGGGGACTCCTTCCTAGCTTGCACCTGTGGACTTTGGTTAAGGGCAAGTGAGACTTGGAGACATCTGAACCCCAAGCCTCCAGGCTTGGGCCTGCACATAGGGTGCCCACCAATGGATTTGGGAGTATCTGAAGTCCCAGGCTGCAAGTGGAAGATATTTGCTGGTTGTAGCGTCACATATGGTGTTCGAACGATTGAGTGTTGCTCAATTGAGACAATTTGGAACTGATTTGGCTATTTTGACCTGGAATACGAAAAATGTTTAAAAAAATTAAAAAGTCAAGTGTAGAGAGTATAAGAAGTCCCGGACTAAGGAGTCTGGGATGGAGGATGTTTGCTTGTAGTATCTGGGGCATCTGGATCCCAAGACCTCTGGGCTTGGGCCTGCACATAGGATGCCAATGGATCTGGGAGTATCTGAAGTCCCAGGGTGAGAGTCTGGGATGGAGGATGCTTGCCAGTAGTAGCACCATACATGGTGTTTAGAATGACCGAGTTCTCTCTGCTCAATCAATACGGTTTTTGGAACCATATTTGGAATATGATTTAGAACTGATTTATATGATTTGGAACTGATTGATATGATTTGGAACTGATTTGGCTGATTTGGCATGGAACATGAAATATAGTAATAAAAAAAAGTAAAAGTATTCTTTAAAAGCATGTTTATGAAGTACCTGTGTTAGAACTTGCAGCAGTTTCATAAAAAGGCAAAATGCATTAATTCTGGATGAATTATATCTTTGAGTATCTGTAGAAATTTTATGCAAGTTACTACAGGTATGTTTTTTTCACGGTCACTGTTTTCAGATTTGCTCCTCATGTTCATGTGCTCAGGGGGAATGGAGTTTGACAGTACAAGTGGGAGAAAGGACTGCCAGGAGAAGAAGTTGTGAGGCTGCACAGAAGGTAAAGGGTAAGAGGACCATCTGACCCCACCCCTAGATTTATTTTCCCTGCTGTAGCAGTAGGAGGGGGAAAAATTCACAGCAAGCCTCCAATAATTAGAGTCTATACCTGGAAAATTATAACATTTATAAATTTTGCATCTATAGAAACTAATTATTTGGGGGTCGTCTTATATTCAGGTTCATCTTATATTTGAGTAAATATGGGAACTGAGCTCTCTAGAACAGTGTGACTCTGTGTCTACCTCTGCTGGCTATACCATGATTAGAGGCTTACAAATCAAGCAGTTGAACCTCATGGGTTCAAACCTAAAGAACTTGGGTTCATTCCCAGCAGGTGACCCAACAAACCATGTCCCTCCATAAGGGCTAGGACTAAATCAGTAACCCTGAGCACAGTCATTTCTCTTACATTTGGGGAACAATTAGTATTGTCTTAAATCTGTTGCTGCTTCAGGTGGTTTGCTGAATATTTTCTGTGACTGATTCTGTAGCTTTTACATAAGCAGTTCCTAGTGAAACTGAATCTGAGCAGGTTTGAAAGGGCATGTAGCTAACAGGATGTTGTTTCTGTACACTGAATGGGTGAGAATAACTCCTTGAATCAGATTTTTGGTACAGTTGAAAGCTTGAAATTTCCCTGTCTTGCATATTCTGCAACATTTGCTGTTTCCTGCCAAGAAACTTGTTTGCTAGAATATTTGAGGAAAGAGAATACAAAAGGGAGCCTGAATACAAATATTCCCTGGTATTTTTTGCAGCATTTGCCCAGGTCTGACTGTCACCTCAGAGGATGGAGAGAGGCACTTTCAGACATGGCAGCCATGGTACCCAGAGCACCAACAGCAAGACAGCGTAAAAGAGCAAAGCACCAGTCTGCACAAGGAGTTCCAGTCGGTGAGCTTATTTAGAGACCTGAGACCACTTCTGGATGCCAGCAAAGGAGACTGAAGTCCTCTGTTTGGTCAAAAACAGATGGTGCTGTTGCACTGCTATATAAGCTTCCCTGTACCACCCTGCCCCCAGCTGTGAACTAGTGGAACCAGGACAGAAGATTTGGGTGCCTCTGTTTACTCCCGGGCTGTGTAGCACAGTGGCTGTCAGGAAGTATGCCAGAGTGCTACCAGTGTCAACCTCGGTGGCATTTTTGGTGTGTTCTCAGACACTCGCCCACTAGAGGCAGGGCTTGTGTTCCCAGCTGAATCCGTTTCAGTCACAACAGCTTTGACTGGATGCAAAGAGTGATACTAGTGATCCAGCCTCTGAACCTCCCAGATTCCTTATAACACAAGGGTAACCAGTGCTTACTGGGTATGGCTTTCTTCCCTCCCTCTACTGGCTGGACACATTGAGGTTACAGGAATCTTCCGTGATGGTTTCCTGGAGGCTGGAGTTGGGTGGAGACTGAAGACTCATTGTGCAAAGGCTAAGGGAAACGGAACAGGCTCTGTACACTTGGTTCAGGTTCAGCCCATCACTTGTAGTGATGGTCGGAGCCCCAGAGAAGAGAAGGTGGCTACCTCCATGTTGACTAGCACTGCTCTGAGCAGGTCATCTGACACAGGCTCCCCTGTGTAGCTCACACAATTTAAGTTTAATTAATGTCATCAGTGGTGGGAGACAAGGGTCTTTGAGTAGATGTGATATCTTTTATTACATTAACTAAGCTATGTCCTTAGTCTAACACAGCTACAACCAATAACCCTAAATCAGTGGTGGGAAACTTTACAAGAATGTGTCTAGCTTGTGTGAAGCACTGCAGTGTAAGCATGGGAGCTGAGTAGTCACCAAGAAAGTGTGCTGGTGTCAAGATGCTGAAATATTTCCAATAAAAATCTCCACCCCTGTCTGTTGTGCCTGGTAATATCCTTTGTCCTAAAGATGGGGAACTTATCAATGGGGCTTCCCTTAGAACTTGTAAACCTGCACTGAGGAGTCATCCTGCTTATCATCATCAAAAGCAACAACAACAATGTAAAGAGCTATTTACCTAGGGCTTTCCAAAAGCATAACTACAGTTTTCTATCAGCTTTGTGTTATTGCTTTTAAATGGTAAAATAATTATCTCCCTACAGAGAAGAGGCCCATACCCTACTTACAGACCTTAAACTTGGCCTGACCTGGGGCTTTCAATACTGCACAGGCCTTATGGTGGCTCAGAATACGAGGGCAAATTTCACAGGCCAAGAATGACATTTTTTTTCTCACCCCCTTATAAAAATGCTGTGTGCTGTGGCTTAGAACATGGAAGCGTCACCATTATAGGGTGCATGAGGTTGGGTCATTGCTATAAAATGGCATACCTTTCATTTCAATATCTCAAACCACCTTACAAAGATTGGTCAATTAATTATCCCCATATCCCTCAACAAGAGGTACTGAGCACCCCTGACTCCATCCTCCTGGCAGTTTGTTGCAGAGTAGGGATGTTTTCATGGGTGCTTGGAACAGGCGGGTGAGAAGGTTGAAGATAACTAAAGGAAGGATTAGCCCTCTTTCCTATTTAAATACCTTTTGTTTATTCCTGGATGTAGCAAGAAACCCAGCTCAGCTGTTTCCTAGCAAGTAAATGGTGACCCAGACAAACACAGACAAGCATCCAGGGCTGCTCATTCCCTGTGTAACAGCTGACTATTCAGAATGGACAAAGAAACAGGTTGTAAATGCCCTGGGTCAGAAAGTGTGTCTTCCTTTGTGTTTGTATAACACCTAATGGCCCAGATACCTAGGGCAACCCTAGGACATTACCGTAACATCAAACTATCAATCATAACAACAGCAGCTGGATTTTCGGCACATTGGGTGCACAACTGATGGTGCACTTGCGCGCCCAGTCTATGTGCATAGTCGTGGAGACCCACGTGAAGGTGGGTGCACACACTGTGAGCATCATTAGCTCTCTGGTCCAACCCTCTCTCCATTGTGCAAGGAAAAAAAAAGGCTCTGCGTAAGTAATGATCCTAATTCCACTAAGCACTTCTATAGCATGTCTTGGTAACACTCATCACACAAGGATCTCCACCTTCTTCAAATAGTTTTCCAACAAAGAAATGACAGTGCAGGGAAACACAGTGACATAGTTAAGTTCAGCAGAGGAACCACTGACAAATATTAGCAGTGGAAGCAAGACCTCTTCAGTGGAACTGGTGGAAGAATAGATTTTGCCATCCTGCTCAGAAAGAACTGAATAGGGTTTCTGGGTATATAAAGAAAAATCACCTCTGATTGACCCAAAATGGGTTTTGGTTTGGATTTTTTTAGTGTGATGATCTTAGAGCCCCCCAAAATTCCTCTTGGGTTGATGTGAACTGTTTCAGCTAACCTGGGATGGACTGTTTCATTGCATTTTCAGGTGAATGAATCCTTTCTTTCTTTCCCTTTCCTTTAGGGCAATACTGAAATTAAAAGTGCTGGTTTTTTCCATGAAAAATCCAAGTGCTTCAAAGCTTTGAAAAATTTTCCCCATTTTTTTCAGATGAAACTTTTTTGTGAATTCAGTCCCAACTGAAGGATAATGGCAGTTCCTCTGAAGTTTTCCTTTCTGTCAAATTCACTGAAAAAGTTTTCTCCGCCGTCTCTTGCTCAGTTCTCTGCTCTGGCTACCACACCAGGCTAACTCCTAGTATAGGAAATGGTGGTAACAACAGCTCTGGTAGAAAGAAATGGTCTTGTCTGATCTGGGATTATGGGAAATAACTCCTTCCTTGTCTCACAGCAATGGAAACAGGGCACCCCACTCCTCCTCATTGTCCAAGATCAAAGTGACTTGTCCTTTTCTTGACCCTATGTATCATCTGTTATGACAGCCAGCCCTCCTTCCTATCCTTCTCACCATCCTTCTTAGTATTCACCATAAATACTTACCAGAACCAACAGGGTGACGCCCTGCTGAGGAGGTCTTTT